CTTTCACAACTTTTTTCCACCTTTTTAGCACCTTTTTAGCAACTTTTTAGCACCTTTTTAGCCATTTTTAAGTAACTTTTATAGTGACTTTAAGACTGGTTTTTGTCACCTAAAAGTCAATGCTTTACTTATTAAAGTTATTGTGTTTTGAGCCATTTTAGCCATTGTTAGTATAATATTCGTGATTAAAATTTTAAAACGCGTTTTCAGTAGTATTTCATATTATTAATAGTTGTGTTGAATTCAAAACTCGAGTGCTTTTAAATAAAAAGTTTAGAAATGATGAAAGCCGTAAGAATATCCAAACAATTGCCAAACGTGCTATTAATGCCATCGGCGGGAACCCATCTCTACAGATATGGCATTTCTTCGTTCAAATATGGGACAAACAAACGCTCACTAATTCATAATCCCATATTAATCCGTATATTATGTCTAATCCTTGGATTACGAAATGTAATTTTAGTAAATTTTGAAGAAACTAATGCCAGAATGAACATAATATACGGCGATTGGACCCACTTCTTGGGCGCCAGATATCATATCAATATAATGCATACAATTGGCATTATATTCATACTATTCTCACAATTGGTTCATTACGTGGACTATAATCACGGCATTAAACCGCTATTTTTGAAGCCCTTTGATATGATGTCCGGCTCTCTATCGCCCGTAAGTATTGGTCTGACAGACGAAAAATGTGTCAAACAATTGATGAAAAGAGCAAAACTAGTGTTTAATACAACGGATAAAATGTTCATCTCTTTCCCACTCGTGGGAGTCATTATATTTGTTCCGTATATCATAAACACCGCAGATGTCTGTGACCTCATCTTCTTCGTCATCCCGTGGTTTACATTAAATACATTTGTTGTCTATTATATGGGTATTCATGTTATCTATCAAGTGGTGTATTTTTATCTCATTTGTCTATATTTGAAGCTGAAGATCAAATGTCTGAACAAACGCCTTAATATTCAAGTGTTTAAAAATTTCAATATAAATCATCTGAAAATAATTTTCTGGCTTTTCAATGCACTTCATCGCGAGATCAGTATTTTGAATGCAAATGTTTGGTCAAAATATATAATGGTATTAATTGTGTGTAATGTGTGGGTAAATAACTTGAGTATCTTTGTCTGTCTATTTGCCGACATTAATGTGTTGATGAAAATCATGTTTATCTACATAACATCGAGTTGGGCCGTCGTATTGATGACTGTCCTCAACATCACATCTAATCTTAACCTCCAGACAAACCTATCGTATAAAAAATTTATACATATTCTATATGTTAAACATCTAACGGATCTAAAACTTATGCCAACAATTCTTAGGCTTAAGGTTTGAAATAATCATTATCTCACAGTTATCTATCAAAAAGTTAAATATAATGGTTATACAGTACAGTATTAATAATTGACAACTTTTTCTCTACATTTTTAGATATATTGTGTCTATAATGTACATACATGTGTATATTCTATACTGTGTATATCAAATTTATTTTATACTATTAATACAAAAATGTATGTATAATACAAAAATGTTAATAATACTTCATTTGATTATATTTATAGATGCTTACAATGGCCGAGAAATTGAGTCAAAAGAGAATTGGCTTTTATTGCTATAAAATTTTTATTATAAATTACACCCACTTTTACGAAGTAAACGAGTAATTAATATAATAATTAATTAATTTTAAATTCTCTTTTATTTTACAGATTTTTATGCTTTCCATTAGTTTTATTTTAAAAATAATTCAAATTTCTGTCTATAAAACAAAAGCATTTCAATAATGCATACGATATCAAGAATATTCTGGTAAATTTGTGATATTATTTAAATACGTTTCAATGCACATGTGCTCAGAGAGTGAGTGTATGCGAGAGAATGAGACATAAAAGTAAGTATTGGACAGCATATAAGGTGCTGTCCGTCTACGTGGGTCACAGTTGACCCACATCTCGGGTTTATGACCACTTTATGACCCCTTTATGGCTAAGGGATCGCAGGATTGCTGGCGCCGGGATTCACAGAATCGGGCGGTCGACTCAAATTAATACTTCACGTATAATTAATACTAATATTTATAGCTTTATTAAAATTAATTACCAGTAAAAAAAATGTGCACAACTTAATAAATAATTCTAATGTATCATAAAATATAAATTTTAATTAAATTTATTAATGAAATATATTAAATGTAAATCGGAATAAACATAAATTATTATATAATACATGTATTCTTAGAAAATAATTACTAATTAACAATAAATACACATTTAATATTAATTATACAGACAATTACTAACCGAGATATTGTAAGTTTATTCAATAAAACTTTTCAAATTGATTAAGGTGAAATAAAAATGCAATACAAAGGTGTGATAGCGTGTGGTGTCATCTGATGTTGAATTAACGACAATATATTTCTCGCATTTTAAGCCATAATAATTGACAACACAATCACACATAGAGTATGCATACCCTACACACTGTATACCATATGCCCATTGGTTTGCATACAAAACAGAGACACACTTTCATTGACCGCACTGTACATTAGTATTGCATTTTCATAGACACCGACTCCTAAAACACATAACAATAACACTAAATGCCATTCAAATAGCATTGAAAAACACATTGAATTTAAACCACTATTAGTTTGAATCGACAAAAAAGTGAATCAATTTTTCAAACCATGTGTTTGTCAGACATATATCGGTGTAAATAATGGACAAAATTGTGGCCGTTTTGTGACAACACCTGACACTTAATAAGGCATTGATTGTGTGATTACATAACACACCACTCGTGATGTGCGAAGAGGTGGTGATGGATATATCGGATCAGTTGAAGTCGGAGACAACTAACCACTCGTTGGATAAGATGTATGAAACTCTCGGCGATTATAATAACTTCAATAATAGTAATAATAATTGCAATAATAATACCATTAATAGCAGTCATAACCGCCAAAACGACGACCACTCGAGTCAGCCATTGATGGACTTAAATCAATGCGATCTCAAGACAGACAATAGCCATATGGACACCGATTATGACCACTCATTCGCCACCGATTATCACAACAACAATAACAGGTATTGATTGGTGACAATCGGTTTGATTTGATTGTCCATCGCGTGTGGTATTTGGCGGGCAATTGTCTGTCATATGAATGTATGGCAAATGAATTGATTAATTAATTGTTGTTTTTGTTATCAAATGTGTAGTGATTTGTGTGTCTCTCCGTTGGACGGCGAAGAGAGCGCCGCCTCGAGTGCGGCGACGGGTGGGGCCGGCGGTCGGGCCAGTGTTGGCGCCTCGCCCTCCGCCACGACCGGCGCCTCCCCCTCCGTGAGGGACCGGTTCTGTTGGGTGTGTCATAAAGACAAGAGCAATATTGTCTGCAAACAGTGTCCCCGCAGTTATCATATGAAGTGCATCGCCGCCAACGGCAACACCTCTTCACTCAATAATACAAATAGTGATAACAAAACCAAATCCAATAACAAGGCTTTGTATGAGTCGTGGGTTTGCATCGAATGCAAAGACATTCTCAACGAAGAGCACAACTTGCGAATAGTGACCGCCGAGGAAGCCGTCGACTCCGCGCCGGACTCCGCGCCGAAGTCACAGTTGGCGCAGATGTCGGCCGAAGAGATGTCACAGTTGTTGGCGTTCGCGGTTCACACGATCCGCCAGACGGCCGACCCGTCGTTTCACAAACCGGTGCAACCGATAGTGTTTCCCGATTACCACCAATTAGTTCACTGTCCTATGGATCTGTCGACCATCGAGAAGAACGTGAAGGCGCACCGGTATAGGTCTCAGACGGGCTTCTTGGCCGACATCAAGTGGATTGTCCACAATTGCATCATTTATAACCACAACAATCATCCGTTGACCACAAACGCCAAGTACTTGTCGCGGGTGGCGAAGAACGAGATGGCGGAGATGGAGATCTGTCCGGACTGTTTCAAGAACTTCTACACCGTTACGGACACGTCGTTCGCCGAGCCCTGTCGTCGACCGCATCAACTGGTGTTCGCGCGCGTCAAGGGTTACCCGCTATGGCCGGCGAAGATCGTACGGCTCGGCGGCAAACCCAATGAAGTCGACTGTCGCTTCTTCGGCACTCATGACCGGTACGTATTGACCGCTTGTGTCCACACAATTGATATTTATTGACACAATGTGTTGCAGAGCGTTCGTGACGGCGGACTTGTGTTGGTTGGTGTCTGAAGTACATCCCGGCGGCAAACCCAACAAAACCCATAAGTCTAAGTTCGAGAGTGCAATGCGGGAACTGGCCCTTCATATCGACCGCATAAACGCCAAGTTTCCCACAAAATTCAAATACTCGCCACAGAAGACACAGTTGTCAACGAAAGAGATCTACATCTTCGACGACGACAATGAATATTACAGTAAACTGATTGCCAGTCAATTGCAGACCACGACCGGTGATAAATCACCCAATGGTTCGGATAATAGTGCGGACATCAGTGCCAACAACAACGGCAGCGATACTAACGATAGAGTTGGCGACGACTGTCCCGCAAACACTTCCAAACTTGTGATTCCCGGCGTTTTTAGTCTATCGAGTGATAAAGTGTTGGACGACTTGAAGTCCGAAATCAAAATAAGCAATGAATCGACAAATTTGTTGAATAAAAGTACGGATTTTTAGTTTATTTGTGATGTAATGATAATTAATGTAATTTTTAATCAATTTAGACATAAAAGGAGGACAAATAAAGGAGGAGTCGGGCGGCGGTAAGTCGTGCGCCGCCCGCACCGCACGTGTGGGCAAACGAAATGTGGCCGAAGCTCTGCGGGCCAGCAAAATACCGCGAACCACATCCACGTCTTCTTCGTCGGCCGGCTCTTCGCCATCGCATCGAATGCAAGCCAATCAGTCATCGCTAATCATCGCCAACAGCACACACTCGATGGCGTCCAACGCCACGCCCGGCGGCGCCAAATCCAAGGCAACCGCCGCCGCGACGACACCGACGGGCGGCTCACTATCGCAACAGGCGGTGACTTCTTCTTCGTCGCCGACGTCGTCGTCGGGCAATACTTTGGTCGAAGAGTTGGAAAAACTACGAAAGAAACAAACCTTCGATAACGCTATGCATAGGCAACAGATCAAAGAGATTCAACACAATCACGATCTCGTGCTGTCGGAGATGAGACAGAGTTGGGTCACAGAGCGGGACAGAGCCCTAGAAGACGAGCGCCAGAAGCATGAGTTGCAGCTCAAACTGACGAGCGCTCAGTTTGAGAGCGAGAAGAAGAAGTTGATGGCAGCCGTGGATGAGACCAAACGGAAACAGTGGTGCGCAGAGTGTCTGAAAGAGGCGCAACTGTTCTGCTGTTACGACACCTGGTATTGCACTTACGATTGCCAGAAGAATCACTGGAAGAGTCACGTGAATGTCTGCCAACAAATTCACAAAAAGTCTTAAAAGACGGCGAGAGTTAAATGGTGTTAATATGAGTGTTGTGTTGACGCCATTGTTTTGTATGCATTAAATGAACGAATCTTTCTAAGAGTCACGTGAATGTCTGCCAACAAATTCACAAAAAGTCTTAAAAGACGGCGAGAGTTAAATGGTGTTAATATGAGTGTTGTGTTGACGCCATTGTTTTGTATGCATTAAATGAACGAATCTTTCAATTTGTGTGTCAATTGTTAGACTTAAACGAATCTGTCATCTCTTCCATTGAATCCATCATTTTCTTCAAATGAATGGTTAAATCCATAGAAACACTGAAAATATCAATACTTTCTTCTCAATGACTAAAGAATTATTTCGATAAACAAACGAAAAAACAAAATATTTTTCATTTCACACCTCTTTTTCGATATAAACACTTGAAATTTGAAAATAATATATATTTAAACAACAATTATATGGTTAATGAATGAGTGGAATTGATTTTGAGCCCCAATTTTGGTGCATATCATTCATAATAACCATTTGCTAGGAATTTATCGGGAAAATGCAGTTAACTATTAGAGACAAACAAACTCTAAAACTCATACATTTATCTGATTTACAAAAGCAAAACAATTATTTGAAAGTTTTTTGAATGACTTATATATTATTTAT